GGAGAGGCGGAGAGGGCAGGGGGGAGAGGCGGAGAGGGCAGGGGGGAGAGGCGGAGAGGGCAGGGGGGAGAGGCGGAGAGGGCAGGGGGGAGAGACGGAGAGGGCAGGGGGGAGAGGCGGAGAGGGCAGGGGGGAGAGGCGGAGAGGGCAGGGGGGAGAGGCGGAGAGGGCAGGGGGGAGAGGCGGAGAGGGCAGGGGGGAGAGGCGGAGAGGGCAGGGGGGAGAGGCGGAGAGGGCAGGGGGGAGATGCGGAGAGAGCAGGGGGGAGAGGCGGAGAGGGCAGGGGGGGGGAGAGGCGGAGAGGGCAGGGGGGAGAGGCGGAGGGGAGTGAGATGGAGGGGGCAGGTGAAAGGAGTAGGAGGATTAGAGGGGAGATGAGAGATACGGGGAGGGTGAGAGTCGGAGGGAGTACTGGGAGAGAGAAAGTCAGAGCCCTTCCACGCCCGCGTGACCCGTGGGCACGGTGGGCAGAGCGCCTGCCCTGGGAAGGAGCTCAAACACTGAGCCGCGTGTCCACCACTGGGGGAAGTGCAGACGACACGCGGGGTGTGTGTCTGTGTGTAAGTGTGTTTGTGTTGTCGGTTTATATATATACATACAGTCAACGGGGCAGTAGAAACGCGTGTAATGCAATGTGTAGTGGGGTAGCGGTAGGGTGGTTGTGGTATGCAGTAAACATCGCCGCCGGGGAGACAAAGGCGGTCAAGCATCGTGCGTGCTGGCGCCGGCTCATGAGCACTTGCCCCAGCAGTCTGTTGAAGGCTATATGGGGGATCTTTGTCTTTGCTGTGGATCTGTAAATGTGTGTAATCGTAAGTGCTCGTTAGTAGCACTTGACCCAACAGCCTATGTCGGCTGTCCCGGGGAGACCATTTGTATCTGTTCTTTGTGCAGGCTTGTGTGTGCATAAAGTGTGAGTCTATGGGTCTCTGTGTGAGTCTGTGGGTCTCTGTGTGAGTCTGTGGGTCTCTGTGTGAGTCTATGGGTCTCTGTGTGAGTCTATGGGTCTCTGTGTGAGTCTATGGGTCTCTCTGTGATTCTATGTGTCTCTGTGTGAGTCTATGGGTCTCTGTGTGAGTCTGTGGGTCTCTGTGTGAGTCTGTGGGTTTCTGTGTGAGTATGTGGGTCTCTGTGTGAGTCTATGGGTCTCTGTGCGAGTCTGTGGGTCTCTGTGTGAGTCTATGGGTCTCTGTGTGAGTCTGTGGGTCTCTGTGTGAGTCTGTGGGTCTCCGTGTGAGTCTATGGGTCTCTGTGTGAGTCTGTGGGTCTCTGTGTGAGTCTGTGGGTCTCTGTGTGAGTATGTGGGTCTCTGTGTGAGTCTATGGGTCTCTGTGTGAGTCTGTGGGTCTCTGTGTGAGTCTGTGGGTCTCCGTGTGAGTCTATGGGTCTCTGTGTGAGTCTGTGGGTCTCTGTGTGAGTCTGTGGGTCTCTGTGTGAGTATTTTGGTCTCTGTGTGAGTCTATGGGTCTCTGTGTGGGTCTATGGATCTCTGTGTGAGTCTGTGGGTCTCTGTGTGAGTCTATGGGTCTCTGTGTGAGTCTATGGGTCTTTGTGTGAGTCTATGGATCTCTGTGTGGGTCTATGGGTCTCTGTGTGGGTCTATGGGTCTCTGTGTGGGTCTATGGGTCTCTGTGTGGGTCTATGGGTCTCTGTGTGAGTCTGTGGGTCTCTGTGTGAGTCTATGGGTCTCTGTGTGAGTCTATGTTTCTCTGCGTGAGTCTGTGGGTCTCTGCGTGAGTCTATGGTTCTCTGCGTGAGTCTGTGGATCTCTGAGTGAATGGGTGTCTATGTGAGTTGCTTAAGCAGGCTGGTCCTGAAAGCCCATCCAGTGGCTCACCGGCCCAACCTCGACACGAACCCACAAACACGGCCAAGCCGCGTGCGTCCGCGCGCGCGCGCGGGGAGCGGTGGCGCCGCGGTTAGCGACGAACCCGGCGCACCCAAGTTCGAATCCCGCTCGCGGCCAACACGAATCGAACGCCGGTGAACTTTATCTAAACCGGTCCTGGGCCTCCCCTAGGTCGGCACGGCCTCAAGTGAGCACTTGGTACAGTCCGTGATAAACGTCAGCACTGGGGATACAAAGGCGGCCGGGCGTGGTTTCAGGTTACACCGCCCCCACCGTGTGCCGTTCGGGCCCCTTTCATAGGTGCTGCTACTCGCTTAACGGCACTTGCCCCGGCAGCCTGTTAAAGGCTACACGGGAGACCTTTGTCAATGCTGTATATACGGTGGGAGGGGACGGGGGTACACAGCTTAACCCCGGAGGGATGGAGGGTCCCACGTGGCTACCCCCCTCCCCCCACCAATACCCCCTCCCCCGGAGCCCCCCCAAACCCCCCCGACCTCCACAAACTACCCCCCCACCCACGACCCCCCCTCGTCCCCCGCCCTTCAGCTGCCAACTGAGGACAGCACCCCAGCAGCTGTGCTTCAGCCGTCGTCGCTGCGTTCGCTGCGTTCATCACACTGGGTGATGTCCCAGAGGGGAGAGACGTAGAGGGGGAGAGACGTAGAGAGAGAGAGACGTAGAGAGAGACACGTAGAGACACGTAGAGAGAGAGACACGTAGAGTGAGACACGTAGAGAGACGTAGAGAGAGACGTAGAGAGACGTAGAGAGAGACGTAGAGAGACGTAGAGAGAGACACGTAGAGAGACGTAGAGAGAGAGACACACATAGAGAGACGTAGAGAGAGACACGTAGAGTGAGACACGTAGAGAGACGTAGAGAGAGACGTAGAGAGAGACGTAGAGAGACGTAGAGAGAGACGTAGAGAGAGAGAGAGACAGAGAGACGTAGAGAGAGAGAGACACGTAGAGAGACGTAGAGAGAGACGTAGAGAGAGACGTAGAGAGACGTAGAGAGAGAGAGACACAGAGAGACGTAGAGAGAGAGAGACACGTAGAGAGACGTAGAGAGAGACACGTAGAGTGAGACACGTAGAGAGACGTAGAGAGAGACGTAGAGAGAGAGAGAGACACGTAGAGAGACGTAGAGAGAGACACAGAGAGACGTAGAGAGAGACGTAGAGAGAGAGACGTAGAGAGACATACGTAGAGAGAGACACGTAGAGAGAGACACGTAGAGAGAGACGTAGAGAGAGAGAGAGAGACGTAGAGAGAGAGAGACGTAGAGAGAGAGAGAGAGACGTAGAGAGAGAGACACGTAGAGAGACGTAGAGAGACACGTAGAGAGACACGTAGAGACACTTAGAGAGACGTAGAGAGAGAGACGTAGAGAGAGGGAGGGAGCCGTCGAGGCTGTGGTGAAGTTTGGTTGAAAGCAGCGCGCGGTGTGGGCGAGTGGAGCCCCTCCACGTCCAGCAGTGGATAGAGAATGGATAGAATGTGTTGCATGGCGGTCTATTCCCCCATCTCCCCTGCTACTCGAGCGGGCGTAATGAGGGGGGTGGAAAGTCCACGTTCCTACGGCCGGGAGCCAGTCGATCCACAGGAACAATAATTGATGACTACCGCAACGGGGTCGTGATTTTTCATTGACACTCAAAGTAACGATGACGATCATGACGAAGATGATTTAGTGCTGCTGATGATGTTTGCTACTGTTGCTGATGATAACTGTATCCTGCTGCTGATGATGTTTGCTACTGTTGCTGATTATAACTGATTCCTGCTGCTGATGATAACTGTTTCCTGCTGCTGATGATGTTTGCTACTGTTGCTGATGATAACTGATTCCTGCTGCTGGTGATGTTTGTGACTGTTGCTGATGATAACTGTTTCCTGCTGCTGATGATGTTTGCTACTGTTGCTGATTATAACTGATTCCTGCTGCTGATGATAACTGTTTCCTGCTGATGATGATGTTTGCGACTGTTGCTGATGATAACTGTTTCCTGCTGCTGATGATGTTTGCTACTGTTGCTGATGATAACTGATTCCTGCTGCTGGTGATGTTTGCTGACTGGTGCAACCACTGCTGACGATAACTATTCACGGTCACGTAAACTGCTGCTGATGATGATGCCGATGACGATGATCACGACGCCTCTGACCGCGACTCGACCCCGCCAAACTTCCCTTTACGAGTACATCTCATCTCACCTCTCTCTCTTACCACTCACCGCTCACTCACCACGAGGTCTCACCACTCACTCACCCACTCTCTCTCCCTCCCTTTAACCACCCACACACACACAGACGAATCACCCCACCCCCCTTACCCCCACGTATCTCACAACACGCTGCTCTGTGGGTGGTGTTTTGATCGTGTTGCTTCAACGCGATCGTGAAGCCTCTTGGAACACAGCGATCGTTCTGCAAGCCAGACCCAGGTTCGACACCACCTCTCCACCACCACCACCATCATCATCACCCCCCGGACCGCCGCCATAGGAATGTGGAATTTCCACCGTTTTGTTTCGCACGGGACGAGGGGGAGAAGCGCAGCCGCTCGCTCGCGATTTGACCACCCAACTCGCAGTGTACCGATTCACTTCGGCGGGGGGGGGGGGGCGGGGGTGTGGGTGGTGATGGTTGGAGGGGGTTGTTTCAATTTCTCACGTCACTTTCAATGCACGGGGGAGCAGGGGACTGACGGTCGGTGATGGGAGGCTGGGGGGGGGGGGCGTGGTGGGAAGCAGCAGGAGAGGGGGGCGTGGGGGGGGGGTCGCATCTGCCAGTTTTGATCGGCCCCAATCCCCCCCCCCCCGGAACAACCATAACGAGCAGCACGTGACGTCTGTTCGATGGCACGCGGCGATGTCAACAGTGGCAGCGGTTAACGGCGTCGGTTAACAACGACGGTTAACAACGACGGTTAATGGCGCCGGTTAACGGCAGCGGTTAACGGGGTCGGTTAACAACGACGGTTAACAACGACGGTTACCAGCAGCGGTTAACGGCGGCGGTAGCGGAGAGGCGGTGCCGACTCGGTGGGGTTCAGGCGCCTAAAAGACACTCGAACCACCTCGTCAACCGGCGTCGGTCACACCAGCGGGAGCATGAACGACGCGCACGGTGGGGGTGGGGGGGGGGGGTGGGGGGGTGAGCGGGGGGCTCGGGGAACATTTTGCCAACGGCCGCGGTACCACGGTCGAGCAAAGTCGAAGTATCCACCTCCTCGCGCTCCGCCAGCGTCCGTCCGTCTCAGGTCGATCCGCCAACCCCCCCGCTCCGGGCTCGCCCATGGCGAGGAGAGGAGGAGAGAGATTTCACCGAACTGCCCTGCGCTGCAACGACGACGAATCTCAGCACGGACGGACACGGTTTGCTGTTCCAGCGACTGACAGCGACGCCCACCATCGATATTCCTCCGCGCGCCCCCCCCCCACTACACCCCCTCCCCCCAGCGTCTCATCCACGTCTTCGTCTTCTTCTTCTTCTCCGCCCATCCAGGGGTCCGGCGCATCGCGTTCCATCTGGAGTGTCGCCCTCCCAAGCCGCCGTGGCTCCTTTTCCGCGGCGGCGGTCATCTTCACCAGCCATTGATCTCCATCCATCGAGGTCGTGATCGTTGATAATTGGAGGGGGAGGGCGGACGGGGGCAGCCGGCACCCACCAACGCCCACGGAATTCTGGGTACCCCAAGCTCGCGTCATGCTCAACCAACGCCAAGACGGCTGCACCGTCGCTCGGTAACAAAACCAAAACCTCGCTCCTCCTTCCCCCCACCTCCTCCCCCTCCTCCTCCTCATCTCAATCTCCCGGGGAGAGACGAGATGTCCTTCGGCCGCTGATGGGACCTTCCCGCTGTGTGACCGTCTCACCGTGGGGGCCGCCCTCCAAACTGGGCTCCGCTTACCGGGGCCGGCGAGGACCTGCGGTGAGCAGGGTGAGCAAGGTGAGGGGAGTGGCCACCACGGATGAATTTGCCGCAAAGTTTTCTCTCCGAGTTGAACCACCACGCTTGGCCCATCGCAATCCCAACTGCGTTGCTGCTCAGCTGAAGTGGCCGCTTGCCTGGACCTCCTGGGTTCGATCCCAGAGTTGGCGAGGGGGTGGAAGGGAGGAGGGGGGGGGCGGTGGCATTTCCGCACCGCACAGCTCGCCGCACCATTTCAATCGGCGAGAGAAAGGGACATCGTGATCATCCGGAACGCCAAGACAACCAGCTGGAACCCGCCCCACCAGCCGTCCGGTTAGAAAACCCACGCTCTCCCAGCGGGGCTACGATTTAACGGCGACGAGGCCCACCGGAGTCGCACCCACCAGATTCGCGCCGCCAAAATCACACCGCCGGAAACGCACCGCCGGAATCGCACCACTGGAAACACACCACCGAAGTCGTACCACCGGAAATACACCACCAGAATCACACCGCTGAGAAATACACCGCCGGAAATACTCCACCAAAATCACCACGCCGGAATCACACCGCCGCCGCTGCCAGGCAAATTCCGCCGGTGCGGCCATGGATGGGGGGGGAGGGGAACGGTCAAATATCGCACGGGTCACCCCCCAGCCCCAAGCCGAGCCCCAGGCCCTCGCCGGCGCCGGTGCCGGCGACCGCCCGGAACGGCGCTCCGTTCTGCACGCCGGCCGTGCTGCCGGCGAGAGAGGGGCCCCGGGCGGCGCGGCCGCTGCCGGCGCAGGCGGCGCAGACGGCGCCCGAGAGGCGGCGGAGGCCGAGGCGGAAACCGCTGGTCGAGAGGCTGTAGACGAGGCAGTTGCAGAAGCTGTTGCTGATCGCCAGCCAGGTGGTGAGGAAAGAGACGGGCGCGCTGTCCACGAGCCGCGCGCTCTCCAGCAGCAGGTAGGTGATGTAGGGCAGCCACAGCGCGTAGAACACGCTGGTGATGCGAAACAGCACCGTCGCGTAGCGCCGGTCCGGCGCGGAGTTCGCCGCGCCCGCCGCCGACGTCGCCGACCTGCCGCTCCCCCCGCCGCACGGCCCCGGCGCCCCGCGTCGTCCGTTGTCGTCGGCGCCGTCGCCGTCGTCGGCGTCGCCGCCGCCGCCGGCGTCGGCGTCGCGGTTGGGGAATCGGGCGCGGCGTTCGCGGATCTGCCGCGTGTGCTGGCGGCAGATGCGGAAGATGCGCGCGTAAGTGAAGCACACGACGGAGGCGGCGGGCGCGTAGAGAGCGCACACCACAAACGCCGTGTAGGCCGCGTTGGTCCGCCAGGAGCGGGCGCACCAGCCGAACACGTCGCCGTGGTAGCCCGGCTTGCCCCAGCCGAAGAACGACGGCGCGAAGACGGCGCACGAGTAGAGGCACACCGCCGCCACCGAGCAGCGGACGCGGCACGGCGTCACCAGCCGGCCGTACGACAGCGGTCGCGTCACCGCCAGGTAGCGGTCCAGGCTGATGCAGGCCAGGCAGGCCACCGACACGCTCTTGAGCACCGACACCACGTAGCCGAAGGCCTTGCAGGCGAGCCGCTCGCTGAGGCCCCACGGCGGGCCGTAGTGGAGCAGCGAGAGCGTGGGCACCAGGCAAGAAAGGCCCACGCTCAGGTCGGCGTAGGCCATCGTGCGGATGAAGTAGCTGGTGGTGTGGTGGTGCAGCAGCGGCGCGCAGTGGAACACGAAGATCACCGTGAGGTTGCCGGCGACGATCAGCGCCGTGAGGAGCGTGAGGACCGCCGCCTCCAGGACGCACACGTCGCCCGCGTAGCGCTGCGACAGGCCCAGCGGGCACGGCTGGTGGTGCCGCTCGTCGCCGACGCCGCCGACGCCGCCGACGCCGCCGCCGACGCCGCCCACGCCGCCGACGCCGCCGGAACCGCTGCCGTTGGCCCCAGAGCCGGACGCGGAGACGCCACCGCCCCACGGCGAGCTGCCGTTGCCGCCCTCCCAAGAGGAGAAGCCGCCGGAGGAGCCCGGCGCGGACGAAGCCGCCGCGGACGATGCCGCGGACGACGCCATCGCGGGCGGGCGACCGTTGTCGGGTCGTTAGGATGCCCGGCCGGAGCGGCGCTGGGGCCCGGACAATGCGGGCGATATCATCCCCCCCCTCGCTTGCGATTGGCGATGGATGGTGAGCGACGAGATATTTTCACCGTGTTTTGTTGCTTTGATTTTATCCGGTTGTTGTTGTTGTTGTTGCTTTGTTGTTCACCTCGCCCTTTGCAATTAGATGGCCATGCTTTTGTTCGATCGTCCTCCTGGCCGCGGTAATTCATCGGCGACGTTCGCTTGTGGTGACCCGCGTCTCGTGGCGACGATTCGTTCCGTGGTCTCCCAGAATAATTTTTTATCCAAAATTCGCGATGGTGGCAGCAGTGGTGGTGGCGGCAGCGGCAGTGGCGGCAGCGGCGGTGCTGGTGGCGGTGGTGGTGGTGGCGGCGACGGCGGCGGCGACGGCGCGGTTGCGGTGCTGGTGGCGGTGGTGGCGGCGGCGGCAAAGGGCTACTCTAATGCGTCCTTCCTCAGGCGAGCTTGGCCTTGCCTCTGCTCCCCACGGCGATCTGGATGTGGATATCCCAGACGAGGCTCCACACGGGAAGCGCCAGCACGGTGGTGATGCGCACGAGCACGGCGCTGCGCTCGCCGCCGCCGGTAGCGAGCAGGCCGGCCGACACGGTCAGCGCCATGGGAGAGACGGCGCGGTGCGTCGGTGTGGCGGTGGGTGGGTGCGGTGGTGGAGCGTCACTCGTAAACGAACACCTGCCCCCCCCCCCCACCCCCCCTGCTCGCCCGCCCGCCCCCCTCCGCTAGGAAGGAGGGTGGGGGAAAAAATAATATTGATTAAATAATAATAATGATAATAAAACACTTGAATGGTAGTAGTGGTGGTAGTGGTGATGATGACGACGGTGCTGTGGGTGTCAGGGTAGCTCTCTGCAGTAGGGAGCCCACCCAGGGAGCGAGTGATTTATCAGCGATCAGGAAAAAATATCCACAGCTGCCTCCGTCTCCTCGTTCCTCCTCCTCCCTCCGGCGATGAGCCGTGCAGTTTTCTCAGGCCGTGTGGGCTCGCGCCACGGACGACGACGGTTCAATCCCGGGGCAGGGCTCGGCAGCAAAACCGGCGGGCCTCGACGGCGACGTTTGAAGGCGTCGTGGCGCAGGAGCTCCGGTGAGCTTTCGGCGTTTTTTTTTGGCGAACCCACGTCGCCCCCCTCGCTCTCCCGCCCGCTCGCTCAGACGCGTGTCCTCGCCGTGGGTTGAAGCGGCGGACGGCGTCCGGCGGCGAGGCAGAAACCGCTCTTCATCGTCCCCACCACCACCCACCTCCTCCTCCCCGCGCAAGCGAGCACCGGTCGGACGGACGGTCGAAATCCCAATAAATTAACCGCGCGGTCAAAATGAAAACTCGGCGGTGGAGGCGGCCGCCGGATCGTCGCTCGGCGCAGCAGAAATTGTGCAAGGGCGCCCGCCCGCCCGCCCGCCCGCCCGCTCGCCCGCTCGTTGGTTCGTCCGTCGCTTCGTGCCTTCTCGATTTAATTTTCAGTCGTCACCATCGTCGTTGGCGATGCCGGAATTTATTTCTCCGTCACTCGGCGCCGGAGCGTTGGCAGAGTCGGCGGCGACGGGGAGAAGCGGGGCGAGAGCGGGTGCCCGACAGCGTCGCTGATCTTCATTAATTTCATCCAACGCTTCGTTACGACCAAGTCCCGTGGGACCGGAGGGGTAGGGAGCGGAGGGTGTGGGGGTGGGGGAGGGGCGGTGGGGTGTGGAGGGAGGAGGAGCCGGGAGCTCGGCCGATCTCCGACGGAGAAGCGGGAGGGACGCGAATTCTTCCGCGCGATCAGCACCTCGGAACGATGGAGCCGCGTGCCGGACCGAGGACGGGCGGCCTTAGCGGCAGGAGGCGCTTCGCTTGTACCGCAGCCCTCGCCGACGCCGGGCCGACGGCGAAGCGAGCGGGCGGCAGAGCGTGCCGAGGCGAACGTCGCTTCCGAGCGGAGACGGACGCGACGGATGGAGATGACCGAGAAGCGCGGACGCACGCACGCACCACGCACCACGCACCACGCACCACGCTCCACGCTCCACGCACCACGCTCCACGCACCACGCACCACGCACCACGTACGCGAGATCGTGTACACGCGGTCCGGCGCGACAGAGACGGAGCCGGAGGGGGTGGTTTTGGGCGAGAGCTCCCGTGGAAAATGTGCGCGGCAGAGACACGGCCCAGGGTACTGCTCTCCTCTGCGCAGCGCAAGAGAGCGCGGGAGGGAGCGCGGAGAGAGAGGGAGAGAGAGGGAGAGAGAGAGGGAGAGCGGGCGTGCGCAGTGGCTGGAATCTAACGCGCGGGTGCGCACGGAGCGGAGATGGAGCATCAGGCATCGAGCTGCTTTCCTGCCAACGTGATTGGCACTCATTCACCCGACTCTACCCCCACCCCCATCACACCCACTGAGCTACTCCCCCCCCCTCCCACCACCACCGTACCGCCCCCACAGTCACCCACCCCCTCCCTCAACAGCCCCCCAATCTACGCACCCCCCCCCCACCACTCACCCAACGTCCACTCCCCTCCTACACCCCCCACCCCCACACACACAACCGCCCACGACGCCTTGGACGCCCCCCCCCCCCCACACACAGACCGCCCCCCCCCCCCCAATGCCCCATCACCGTTGCCCTAGCAACCGTTGCCAAGGAGACGAACGCCCTCACAGCCATCCACTGTGTGGAACCCTGGTGACGGAGCCAGATGGATGGAACGAGGAGGAGGAGGAGGAGGGAAGTTGCTGGTTATGGGGGATGATGATCATGATGATGGTTGTGCGATGGAGGAGATGATGATGATGGTGACGGTGGTGGTGATGGTTGAACAGTGGTGCAGCGGTTAGCGCTACGCTGCACTATGAACCCCGCCGGCCGGGGTTCGAGTCCCGTTCAGGGCCAACACCGGTGACGATTATTTGAACCGGTCATGGGCCTCCCCTAGGTCGACTCAGCCTCAAATGAGTACCTGGTGCAGTGTGTAAACATCGCCACTGGGGAGACAAATGCGGCCGAGCGTGGTGCTGGCCACCCACCCCCACGTGTGTCGTACCGACCTTCATAGGTGCTCGCTAGCAGCACTTGCCCCAACAGTCTGTTAATACTATACGGGGGATCTTTGTCTGGTGATGGTCGTGATGGTGATTGTAATGAGTGATAATGGTGATGGTGGTGATGGTGATGACGCCATGTACGTTGCACATAGAAAACAGTGCTAATCGGAGGTGCAGGAAATAGTGATGATGGTGGTTGGACCGATAGTGTGCTGATGACGCGGTGATTAGTGATGATGGCGGTGAAAATGAAGATGACGATGATGAGAGTGATGTTTGCGATTATAATTGTAATCATGATTACAATTTATGATGAAAATCACAACTACGTTGATGTTCAAAAAGGGCCTCCGTTCGATTCCTGACTCGGGCGCCTGGCTGTGTGGAATCTGCATGGTGGCTCACCCCCTGTTCCGCTGAGTGTGAGCGCATGGATGTGTGAGTGTGTGAGAGTGTGAGTGTGTGTGAGTGTGTGAAAGTGTGTGAGTGTGTGAGAGTGTGTAAGAGTGTGAGAATGTGTGAGAGTGTGAGTGTGTGTGAGTGTGTGAGTGTGTGATCGGTGATGGGGCGGTTGTGGAGAGAGTGGAGAGTTTCCCATACCTGGGCAGTGTGCTTATGACTGGCTCCAGTTTAACAGCAGAGGTCTCACTCCGAATCAGTCGAGCGGCAATATCTTTTCATCGGTTGCGTAACGCTGTGTGGAAGCTACCTGGTCTGTCGCTCCGCACTAAGCTTCAGGTCTTCTCGGCCACGGTCATTCCCTCCCTTCTCTACGCTTGCGAAACGTGGACCCCCCTAATGGAACATCTTCGCCGGTTAGAAACATTTAGGCTAGCCTGCCTACGATCCATCCTGGGTTTAACCAGACTGGATTGTGGGAGGAGCTCACAAATCCTTGAAAGATCTGGGCAGGGTCCCATCGGTGAGCTCCTCCGGCGGGGAAGGCTGCGATGGCTGGGTCATGTAGCCCGCATGCCCAGCCACCGCATGCCGAAACAGCTTTTGTTCGGCCGGATCGAGGGGGCTAAACGGGCGCGGCACGGGCTAGAGAAGAGATGGAGTGATGTGGTACAGGAGGACGTGGAGCTGAGTGGACTTGCCGATGACTGGTACCAGCGATGTCAAGATCGGCCTCTGTGGAGGAGGCTCGTGAAGGACGCTACTGGGCAGTTGGAGGTAGTCGCCCTCCAACAACAAGGGAGGGCGGAAGAGCGACGCTCACAACAACGAGCGGAGCGCCGGGTGGCTAAAGCACAGCAGGTTGGCACAGTAGGGGGCACGGGTGGTGCATCAGCCAGTCATCTCAGTCAGTCGACCCGTGGCACCTGGGTCTGCCCTGTGACCTCCTGCCAGCGGGCGTTCAACACTTCACGTGGCCTCAAGGTGCACATGGCCTGGCACAAGCGTCGTGGTGACGTCACCGCCACCTAGTGGCGAATGGCGGTTGTTGTTGTGTGAGAATATGTGAGTGTGTGAGAATGTGTGAGTGTGTGAGAATGAGTGAGTGTGTGAGATTGAGTGAGTGTGAGAATGTGTGAGTGTGTGAGAGTGTGTGAGTGCGTGAGAGTGTGAGTGTGTGAGAGTGTGTGAGTGTGTGAGAGTGTGAGAGTGTGTGAGTGTGTGTGAGTGTGTGAGAGTGTGAGAGTGTGTGAGTGTGTGTGAGTGTGTGTGAGTGTGTGAGTGTGTGAGAATGTGTGAGTGTGTGAGTGCGTGTGAGTGTGTGTGAGTGTGTGAGAATGTGTGAGTGCGTGAGATTGTGTGAGTGTGTGAGAATGTGTGAGAATGTGTGAGTGTGTGAGTGTGTGAAAATGTGAGAGTGTGTGAGAGTGTGTGAGTGCGTGTGAGTGTGTGTGAGTGTGTGAGAATGTGTGAGTGCGTGAGATTGTGTGACTGTGTCAGAATGTGTGAGTGTGTGAGAATGTGTGAGTGTGTGAGAGTGTGTGAGTGCGTGAGAGTGTGTAAGTGTGTGAGAATGTGTGAGTGTGTGAGAATGTGTGAGTGTGTGAGAATGTGAGAGTGTGTGAGAATGTGTGAGTGTGTGAGAATGTGTGAGTGCGTGAGATTGTGTGAGTGTGTGAGAATGTGTGAGTGTGTGAGTGTGTGAGAATGTGTGAGTGTGTGAGAATGTGTGAGTGTGTGAGTGTGTGAAAATGTGTGAGTGTGTGAGAATGTGTGAGTGTGTGAGAGTGTGTGAGTGTGTGAGAGTGTGTGAGTGCGTGAGATTGTGTGACTGTGTCAGAATGTGTGAGTGTGTGTGAGTGTGTGTGAGTGTGTTAGAATGTGTGAGTGTGTGAGATTGAGTGAGTGTGTGAGAATGAGTGAGTGTGTGAGAATGTGTGGGTGTGTGTGAGTGTGTGTGAGTGTGAGAATGTGTGAGTGTGTGAGAATGTGTGAGTGGGGAGCGGTAGCCTAGCGGTTAGCGCGCTGCGCTACAAACCTGGCGACCCGGGTTCGATTCCCACTCACAGCCACCAACGCCAGTGACGATTATCAGAAACCGCGTTCCGTGCTTCCCCTAGCTCGACTCAGCCTCAAATGAGTACCTGGTGCTGTGTGTACATCGCCACTAGGGAGACAAAGGCGGCCAGACTTGGCGCTGACCACCCATCCCCTCGTGTGCCGTGCCGGCCTTCATAAGTGCTACCCGTTAACAGCACT